GTACTAGGTATTTACCCAAAGGATACAAAAATACAGATTTGAAGGGGCACATGCACCACAATATTTACAGCAGCATTACCAACAATAGCCAAACTATGGAAAGAGCCCATATATCCGTTGACTAATGAATGGATAAAGAAGAGGTGGCATATATAATGGAATAATACTCAGTCTTCAAAAAGAATGAAATGTTGCCATTTGCAATGATGTGAATGGAGCTAGAATGCATTATGCCATGTGAAATAAATCAGTCAGAGAAAGACAAATACCACATGATTTCACTCATATGTGGAATTTAAGAAACAAAACAGATGAACATAAGGGAAGGAAGAAAAGAAAGAGATGGAAGCAAACCAAAAGAGATTCTTAATGATAGAGAACAAATTGAGGGTTGGTGAATCTAGGTGGGTGGGGGATGGGCTAAATGAGTGAGGTGTATTAAGGAGGCCGCTTGTGATGATTAGCACTGGGTGTTAATAAATATAAGTGATGAATCACTAAATTCCACTCCCGAAGCCAGTATTACACTATGTGTTAACTAGCTAGAATTTAAATAAAAACTTGAAGAAAAAAACCTACTGAATTCATGATGGCAGGGCCCCACTGAGGAAGAAAAGAGTGGTGTGGGTCTGGGAAGAAGTAACATAGGGCTTTTCCATATCTGTCATGTAAAGGGCAGGCCAAAGTAAGACATAATTTTTAAATTTGGGACAGCGGGGCACAGGTTATACAGGTGTTTGTAACATTAATCTTTATTCTTGTCCCTGTGCTCAAGATTAATTTGCAGTAAAGATATTTCTTCCTAAAACCCAGCAGATAAATCCAAAGTCAATCACATGATTTTTGTTTGATGATGGTAAGAGTATAGACTTCCTTGGAAGACCCTAATTCTTGGAAATTGTAAAATAAGTCTGTACCTGCTCTGTGAAATGATTGTCAGTAGGCCAGAAATTGTGAGGAGTCCCTGAATGAGGGACAGCAGATGTGGTCTCACTCATTTGTTTGAGTAAGTCATGGCCCACAATCTGTGCAAAGGTCACTGCAAATGGAGGTACTGGCCCAAGAGTGTTCTATGCCCTGGGGAGGTGCTGGCTGGCATCAGAACAGAGCACATAGGTGAATTAGTGCAGCAATAAGAGCAGTGTGGACTAACCCAGCATTTCCCTATCTCGCTCCCAGCACTTACCACCCAGGGGGTGGCTATAGATGTCTGCCCAGGTGAAAGCAATGCCTATGGACACTTGGGCACACGGATGGGACAATGTCTGGGGTGGATGGGTTAGCAGACAATCCCCGGGGAAGAACAGGGTGCAAGACCCACAAGAATTGCTGCCAATGTATCCAGCCCAGCATATCCCAACCCAGTCCCTTCCAGCACTTCCACTGAAAATATGGCAGTGGTATAAATTCACCTCAACAGTGGCTCTTATTCATTAGCTATTCCCTGTGAATGAGGTACATATATGCCTTGTGTATGACTTTCCTTCTGCTGATGTAACAAGTTACCACAAATTTAGTGGCTGAAAACAACCAAATTTACAATTTTACGGTTCTGGAGGTCAGAAGTTTAAAATGTATCTGCAAGTCTACGTTTCCTCCTGGAGGTCCTTGGGGAGAATCCACTTCCTTGTCTTTTCTAGCTTTGAGAGGCATCCTACATCCCTTGGCTCATACTCCCTTCTTCCATCTGCAAAGCCAGCAGGGTAGCATCTTCTCTCCTCTTTGATCTCTGCTTCTATCCTTAGATGTTTTGCTGACTCTAATTCTACTGTCTGTCTCCTATAAAGGACTCTTACATTTACCTTGGGCCCATCCACATAGTCCAGGATAATCTCCCCATCCAAAGATCCTTAACTTAATCACATCTTCAGAGTTCCCTTTTGCCGTATAAGGTAATATATTCACAGGTTCTAGGGATAGGGATGTGGATGTATTTGGAGCCTGGGGGGGATTTTCAGTGTACCCCATCTTGTATGAGCTATTTTCCTTTAATCTTTACAAAACCACTGTGACATGCCCATTTACAGATGGAGAAACCGAGGCTTAGAAAGGTAGGGTAACATGCTGGACTTGACACAGCTCGGAAGGAGCAGGGCCAGGCATGGAAAACCTGGTAAGGTGACTAAGGATCTCTGCTTTTCTCTTCCCTACACCTGTCCCTTTTCTCATCTCTTTTCCTTCTGCTCCTATTCCAAGAGAGCAAGAATACTCTTTTCCATTGTAAGCCCTCTTGAACCACTAAATGTGCATGCATTCAATTGGAGCAGCTGCAAGGTGTGTGATGGCAGAAGTCAGGGCTTGGAAATCTGAAGATGTGAACCCAGACACTGACATTCACCAGCAGCGCTATGATCTTGGGCAAAAGAGCTAACTTTTCTCTAGCTTCACTGGTAATTGAAGGTTCTTGCAAAAGATTTCAGTTTGGATGCAATTTAGGCACAGAGCCTACCACAATGATGTTACTTTCCCTCTTCTCTCTGTACTCCCAAGGCCCTCACAAGTCAGTTGCCCTTCCTTTGTCATGTGCTATTTAGCCCAGACAAGCCTGTGGTCCACCATGTTCCAAGGCCTGGCTTAATTATTTCCTCCTGTTAAAACCATGCCTGGTGATATTCTGGCTATGAAATACACTGTGTTTATTTACCAACTACTTCTGTGACCTGTCTTACATAAATGTGATTTCTGTTAAGCATTTGTGAATACTGAATGTAGCTCACAAACTAAGTTACCTTGGGGAATTTGGATGGAAGCTACAGCCCTAGCTTGTACATTGCTTCAGGTAGGCTCTGATCCACCCTCGGTGCTATGGGGAGCTGCCCTGCCCTTATTGTGGAGTGGAGCAAAGGTTCGCTCAGATGAGGCCTGAGGCAGAGAAATGCCCACCCCCTCCTCAGCCAGCTGTTTGGTAGGCAGAAAGCAGTGCTGCAGTAAACGTAGACTGCTCCAAATTAGTTTGTGGCCAGGCTTCCCCAACAGAAAGCCCTGGTAGGCTCTGGATATAAAGAAGATTTCAGTTAGAAAGTGACTGTTGGGAAGAGAATTAGCTTGCTGGATCACATTCTCAAAAAATCCCAACAGAATGGAGAAGCTATTAAAAAAATAGAGGTGATTTTGCAATCTTCTAGGCAGATTCATAAAGGCAAACATAAAACAAACAAAAGAGGGAAAAAACCCTGAATTCCAAGGAACCTGCTTTCATCCAGGGTCACTGGTATGTACTGTTGGATGTCCAGAGAGCCTGAAAATAGGCCTGGCATACAAGGCTGGAGAGATTAGCCTTTTCCTGTTGATTCAGAGGACAAATCACAGGACAGAGATGGTAAGTGAACTCAGCAAAGTCAAAGAGCTTGTAAGCAACACGGGCTGGGCCAGAACTCATGTTCCCAGGTTTGAGCTCAATGCTTGTTACTCTATACCAGGCATCTCCTTTCTACACATGTACAGGGGACTGGGCTTTGTTGGGTGCAATTCAGCTGGGAATTCTGCCCTGATACACTGCCCTGATCTACCATTTAGTCACCAGGTGTAGCCATATCCTGTTCCACAAACTCTATGGAGTATCAAGAGGCTAGACAGGGTCCTTTCACTCAGTGGGATTATAGGCTGAGGTTCTGTCAAGCAAGTATTTAATCTCTTCCAGCCAAAAAGGGTATAAAGTGTTTGCTTGCTTTTAAAATGTTCAGGTAAACACACGTGCAAAATATTTTCCATCATGTATTCCTTCAACATGCATTTATTACATGCCACTCTCACACACTGCTTGAAACACCTGAGAGGCAAAGTCTGTGCTTCCTGCATGATAAGTGCTTTCATTTGTAATGTCATTTAATTCTCACAACCTTATGAGTACGGCACTTAATTAACCCCATATCATAGACGAGAAAACCGAGGCTCAGAGAGGTGAAGTGACTTAGGCAAAATAATATCTTTGAAATGACATAAGAAAGATACAGACTGTTTGCTGCAGACTCCGCCATCAGGGGAGCCAACATGGACCCACTACTCATTCAGGAAGACCAGCTTCAGGGAGGAAGAGGCCAGTGCATAGGCAGATGGAATTTAGATAGTTGGGGATGAGAAGAAAAGCAATTCAGACAGAGGAAATAGTGAGCAAAGACCCAGAGTGGATAAAGCTCAGTTTGCTCACAATTACATTTGGATTACCAAATGAATGAAAGAACCAAAATAAATCAGGTTGTCAGGTGGGCTGGAGCCTAGAAACCTCAGAGCCAACCTGCACTTCTACCACCTTTTTCCACCTAATCAGTCCCTGAAGCCTTTCCATGAGCACCCTTAAAATGCCTTTCTGCTTCTCCATCCCCATCGCAGCTGCCTTAAGGCTCATTTTCTTTTCCTCTTGCTTTTTGTACAAATTGCTTCCAAAGTGACTTGCCAGACAACAGTCTCGACAGCCTCTGTGAAGCTCTGCAAATCCAAGTCTGATGCTTTCCATGCCCTGCTTAATAATCCTGTGAATATAGAACATTTTAAGGGTTCTGCAACTCTTGCACACTGTTTGCTGCTTTTGCAGTCCCACTTCCCCTCATCGCCCAGCCATTCAACCATAGGCGTCCTATCTGGGCCCACGAATCAATTAGTACACATGTAAACTATTTCTGAGAACAGGGATGGTGGATCAATGTGTTGTGTATGCCAAGTCAGAAAAGGAGAACTGTGTCCACTGATACCTCCATAAATACACTCCATTCCCCAACATCCTCCATCACCACCCCTTGACCCATCAGTCTGCATTCTGTGAGAATGTGTTAGAGACACATTGCTTCCCACTACCTGCGAGTAAATCTTGTACAAGACTGAAAAACACAGGAATCCTATGCTATTCATTTGTCCCGTGTGTCCCCTGCCCTTGTCAATCTCTAGCTCTCACTTCTACCCTAGTCCCACCCCTGCCGCCTAGTGCCTCTTTTTCTGACAGCGGAAATTTGTGTGGAGGAGACGCCCACTTCCTCTTTGGAGTTCCGAGTGCGTGGCAGAAAAGGCGGAGTCTGTTCCGCAGAGCTGTCTCGGGGGTTCGCAGCGGGAGCGAGTGCAGAGGGCCGTTGCTCAGGCATTCCAGCTTCCCTGGGAGTGAGCTTTCTCGTTGAGCACGTCTGGCTTGTTGCTACAAAGACTATTGACATTGCTGGCTTCAGCGGCGGCCGCTGCTTAAGGTAGAGGTAGTTGCTTTCGGCAGAAGTTGCAGGCATTTCCCCCTAGAATTGCAATAGACTCAAGCGCCCATAGTAGGAGACATGCCTCGGGGTCGGAAGAGTCGGCGCCGGCGTAACGCAAGGGCCGCAGAAGAGAACCGCAACAACCGTAAGATCCAGGCCTCGGAAGCTTCTGAGACCCCAATGGCCTCTTCTCTGTCCCCAAGCACCCCGGAAGACGACCTGAGTGGCCCTGAGGAAGAGCCTCGCACTCCGGAGGAGGCCTCCATCACCCCTGAAGAAGCCTCCAGCACTGCTCAAGCTCAAAAGCCCTCGGTAGCCCGGAGCAATTTTCAAGGAACCAAAAAAAGTCTCCTGATGTCCATATTAGCCCTCATCTTCATCATGGGTAACAGCGCCAAGGAGGCCCTGGTCTGGAAAGTGCTGGGGAAGTTGGGGATGCAGCCTGGCCGGCAGCACAGCATCTTTGGAGATCCAAAGAAGGTCGTCACAGAGGAGTTTGTACGGAGAGGGTACCTGATTTATAAGCCTGTGCCGCGGAGCAGTCCAGTGGAGTATGAGTTCTTCTGGGGACCTAGAGCACACGTGGAATCAAGCAAGCTGAAAGTCATGCATTTTGTGGCAAGGGTGCGTAACCGATGCTCCAAGGACTGGCCATGTAATTATGATTGGGATTCCGAGGATGATGCAGAAGTTGAAGCTATCCTCAATTCAGGTGCTAGGGGTTACATTGCACCCTAGGGAGATCTGGGGAAACCCTTAAGGGGGTTTGGAAACAATATCAAAGGTACCCCAAGAAATAGATTAGCTGGGTCCTGAATTGAATACCATGGGAAACGGGGTGGGGGGGCATTTGTTATTTGTGATCAGTGCTAATTGTTTAACTGCAAAATAGACCGTTTGCTTTGGATGTTGTACAATTTATACATTTTAATATAGTGCTGATTAAGGTCACAATATGATTAAAATATGATTGCAGAAAAGATACTGTTTTTTCTGTCATTGAGATTTAGTAAGACAGTTTTGCTTATGTTATAAAATGAGCACATCATATACTGTGATCTAATACATATTTTATATCATTGATATAGGCTATTCCTCCAAGTTTGAAATAACCAGTATGTGAAAGACGGATGGGGGAATTCTTTTATGTCTGACATTTCAGAAACCTTTGTGTATGCTATCATGTAAAGAGAAGTGACAACTACCACAAATTTGCTTAGTTACTGCACAATATAGAAAAAAAATAAAAGCATAATGACAAGGACACCTTGTTCATTTATTGACCACCAGTTATGTGTGAGACACCAGGCTAGGTTCTGGGGATACTCCGTGACACACAGTCCTCAGTTCTAAAGAATATTCTAGATTACACAGGAGAAACAAATATGTAAACTGGCAGTTTGGTAAACGCCATAATAGGGAGTGAGTAAGGGTGCCATAAAAAGGTAGAAACACTTAGGTGACCTGTCTTGGGGGTGGGGTGGGAAAGAGGAGACAACAGAGGATTCTATGAGAATGCAAGAGATGCTGAAATAAGTTTGGGGGAACTTACAAGTGGCATCAGAGCATTCTATGAAAATACTGTGCATTAACTAATTTTTGGATACCTAACCCACCTTGTGGGAGGGGGTATTGGCAAAGGGAAGGGAATATCTTGGGCTACTGTGGAAATAGAAAATACACTTGAATCAGCTTGAGAGGAAGGCAGGGGAGAGAGGGAGTGGTTGCAAGAAAAAGGACATTGTGGGGTACTATAGAAATTAAAAAGATGGGACTGTCAGAAAATTCTTGGTGAGATGACAAGCTGAGGTCTGAAAATAATATTGAAGACGGGGAAAGGAGTAATTATGGAGGCACTAAAAGCAGCGTGGACACTAGGGAGAAAACAAATTCTCCACCAAATGATTAAGGCTATGTTAAGGGGAAAGTGGAGGAAAGGTGGGGAAGGTGGGGAAGAGGTGAGCAGAAGCTAGAGCCTCAGAGGATGGGAGTTATGGCTGACTTTAATGAGAGCAAAGATGGTTAATAATAATGATAATCCTGGAATAATACTAATTTTTAAAAAAGCAAAAAAAGCAGAGCCCCTTGGATGAGTCAGAGAGAAGACTCGACCTGTGGCATCTCTGAAAGATAACCTGGCACTTTTGTCAGAAACTACAGTTTGTTAAGGTGTGCCAATTGTTTTAAAAGTGTGTGTGTTTGGCGGGGGGTATGCATTTTGGCGTGGGAGGGGAGCAGAGTTAGCACTTTGACTTTCTCCTTCAGCCAGAGTAGTGAGTCCAGAGAGCCACTTGGCATGGTGGCCCATGGTGCACTAAGCATGTGGTATCAGGTTTCTTTCGGCCTCTACCAAGGAGCTCAATGCCCTTCCAATCTAGTCTATCACCAGGGAGTTCTGAATCCTCTATCTCACTCTGCAGCAAATCTGGAGACATAGGAGTCATCCCTCACATTCTCTTTAGCTACAAGCAAAGAACATGCATAAGATGTTCTGGCTACCCCCAAAGCCTACTACATCTACTCCTAGAGCTAAACACTGTGTGAACTAAGTCCTCTAATAGGGAACCCCAAGGAAGGGTGCCTCACCTAGCTTTGTGGAGCTCAGAGGGAGCAGCTATCACACACAAGAGTGGCCAGTGTCCCTTCTTTCTTTTGCCTCCTGTCAGTCTTCTCCTGCTTTCAGCTGTGTGCAAGGTAAAGTCACTGGAGCCAGGGTAGGCTACCAGATGACTTTCTGGCAAAGGCCCAGGGGCCCACAGACATCAGCCTGCAAAGGAGGCTTCAAAAGTAGAAACTATGATGCCTCAGCAGCTCCAAATTCATTCAGCAAGCAAGGAAATAGTGAGAGCCTTCTATGATTCAGGCAGTGTGATAGAAACTGAGGCTGCAGAAAATGAAAAGGCATGTTTCTGGCCCCAGAGGAGCCCTATTTGTCAGTGCCACCTCCAGAGGTAGATAAGGTATGAATCTGAGGTTCAGATTACCAAGTGACTTTCCTGTCTAGAGCCACAGGGGTGGCAAGTGACAGATCCTAGGCAAGACCCCACATCTGGTCTCTGAAAATCCAGTGTTTTTCCATAGGCCACCCTGCTGTCCATTCCTGCCTGCCGATGCACTCACAAGGTCTCTGTCTTGAAACAAACACATGTAAAGTCCGTGGTACAGGTCTCAGTAACCCGAACTGCAGCCTCAAATCCTTTTGAGGACAAGACTGACTTAAAATACTCTCCCTTTTATAGAGATAGGGCTCATAGAAGTCATTTGGTACCAAATCAGTCAGCTAGTAAGTGGGAGAGCCTGCAGAGCAAAGATTTATTATTGAGCATCCCCTCTGTACCTGGGGCTTGCCACATATTATCTCTGCCAGGTCAGTAAGATCACCCGTTTTACAGGAAGCTCCAGCTAGCTTAGGGGAAGAAATACTGTCCTTCCAAAAACTGTCTGAATCTATCTTTTCTTTGGTTCTGGTGGGGAATAATCATCCAATTGTCTAAAATGATTCTTTGCAAGTGTGGGCCAAGAAGCTTAATTCAGTCAGAGAACCAGTACTACCCAGTATAAAGGGAGAAAGAGTGGGAGTAGACAGCAAGCTGCATTGTAAAAGAGATGACTGCTGGGATCCTGAAGGCCTCAGGCAGGAGGCTCCACAGGGAGGCACAGAGGCTCTTGTGACCTGCCTCAACCCAGCAAAGGAAGCAGTTAATGACTCACACTCACTCTCGCCTTGGCCTGAAGGTTTAGTGTGTCTCCCATCCCTTTGCGCCCCCGACACATTACATTGGTACCGCAAAGAGTTAATCTTCATTTGATTAGGTAAAAGCTGAGCAAGGGTGGGATTTCCGGTGGCTGTGAAATGAATGACAGGGCTGACAGGCAGGGAAAGGAGCCTCTGGAAGGTGGTGAGAAAAAGAGAATATTCATTGTTTCATTTACATAAATTCTTTGAGCTTTGAGCAGTATCCTTGGGGGACACAAGCTGGAAACCTCTTGCTTGTGTAAGTCAGCAACCTGACCTGGCTCTATCCCAGCAGAGTTTCCACACATTGAGTGGAAAGGCTGCAGTTTTAGTTGCCAGAATGCCTCTGGAGTGGATTGAGTTTCTGGGGCTAGAAATACTAGAATACTCCAGTTGTTTAGGGGGCTCAGGGATAGAGAGCTCAAAAGTCCCCAGTGCATAGCAAGAGTGGCAGCTGAGTGCCTAGATTGTGCCAGGCACTTTGATGGTTGTTTTCATACATTGTCTCTAATGTTTGCAACAGTCCAGCAAGGTAGGCACCACCAGGCCAAGTTTACAGAGGAGGAAACTCAGGGTCAGATATCAGAAGCAAGTTGCTAGGGTCACCTGGTTGGTCAGTGACAGCCTTGGACATGAACCCGGGGCCAGGGCCAGGGCCAGGCAAGTCTGAAGCCCACACTATTATAGTAAAACAACAAACCGCATCGCCAGGGCATCTGGGGCTCCACCCAGCTGTGGGAAAGTCCTCTGTCTTCAAACTCCACCACAACCCAGGGTCAAAGTGAGAAGGAACATGCTGGGGTGGGGTGAGGAGGCATGGGGAAATAAGGTTAAGAAGTCATTTGGGGATTAGCTGTGGATGTTCCTTTATTATGAATTACTGTGGCCCCGGTTGCTAGGCATCATTCAGGGGCTGCAATGTGTAGAACGATTCTTTCCTTCCAAGACAAATGTATCCTCTCCATCACAACGCCTTGCTCAGAAACTTCACCACCCTGAACATTCCATTAATCCTCAAATCCCAGGTCCTGGCTATTGCACAGTGAACCAACCAAACAGCAACCTTTCTGGTCCTGCCAACGTTGCTGGCTGATGCTGTTTCCAATCCAGAAGGTACAATGGGTCACCACAACTCTGCCTTGAGCAGAGTAGAGTGCCTGGGATAAGACACAAGCAGAAAGCAGTTGACTATCTGCCTGTGCAAGAAGACAGGCTGAGGGGGGTCCTCCTTGGGCCCAGTATTGTGGCCATGGCCTCAGTAGTCAGGTGCAGAGCAGACCATGGCCATGGTGAAAGACAGATATGGATTCTGCCTGGGTTCACATTCACCTCGTGAGGTGGGTAGGGGCCAGGATCCTTCTGCATCCTTCCTTTGGCAGAAGCAAAGAACTCCAGAGTCCTGAAGGAAATGATTTTGAAAGCAGTGGTGGTGGTGGAGAAGGGTGATTGCTATGAAGATGTCCTGAGACCTATATGCAGGTTACTCCAGGGTTTGTGAACCATGAAACAGTTAAACATCAAAGAGCTAATGGAATTTCTTTGAAAATCTGTGTGAGGACACTTGCACAAAAGGAAGGTCTCAGCTCAGTCAAAGCTGTATAAAAGAATGGCTCTGGAGAAATCCAGGGCTTGCCGAACAGATTTTGGGAGGGAAAGTAGACTCTAGGTTTGTTCTGCTCATCATTCAACAGACATAAAGCCCACACAGGGTGGTTTGGAGGGGAAGGTAGAGCCCATAAACAGCTGGTGAAAATCAGGCCCAATTCTTGACTGGTCAATTTCTGCCTCAGTTCCTTGTGACAAATGACACCCTAGAAAATGTTATCTCAAAATGTGCAATGTATGAGAAGTGCCTGAAATCCCTCCTGTAACTATGACCAAGGAGGCCCTTGGATTCATGCTCAGCCTATAAAGCTTCAAAAATAACTAGGCCTCTGTCATTTTGGATGCTGTGATTATCCATTCACCCATTCGACACACATTTACAAAGGTCTATTTGTGGGATACCTCAGTGGGTGAGGTTGAGCGTCTCAGTGGCTCAGTGGTTGGTTGAGCGTCTGCTTTCAGCTCAGGGCATGAACCTGGGCCTGGGATCAAGCCCTGTAAGGGGCTCCCTGCAGGGAGCCTGCTCCTCCCTCTGTCTATGTCTCTGCCTCTCTCTCATGAATAAATAAATAAAATATTTAAAAATAAAAACACAAAGGTCTATTTGTGTCAGTCACAGTTCCAGTCACCTGGGATACATA